CTAACAAGTTTCATTATAAGAGTTTTTAGCACAAAACTGTCAAATATGCATAGACTAATTAATTAATTGATGTTGGAATTATACTTAAATGCTACTATATAAAGTCTGTACCATTTAAAAACATTTCAGTTAAAAGGATATGGGAATCCCCCATTATTATAAAACAATGTATCATAAAACAGTCTTCTGTACTTGACTAAAGTTTACCCTTTTAAATAATTCCATGCACTTTCATTGTTTGGTGCTTTTCGGATGTAGTCCTGGGTAAATCTGAAAGAAACAATAATCACATAGTACAAGAACAAAGTAGCTTCCTTTTAGCAATACCTCACCATCTTTGTAACACTGATTTTCATTGGTCAGTCAGGTCATTCACATTATCAGCATGTATATAAAGTGTTACCTCTGTAGGGAGGCCCTCTATTTAGCAATAACCTCTTAAAAACAGTATTTAATGTCTCTATTGAAACACCTCTCCTCAACAACCACAGGGTTTATCTCCCAATGGGTGCTGCACTGGAAAAGTTGTACCATACATTGCTGCTGTAAACTTTTAAATAGTTTTCATTTTATAGAATATAATTATTATTGTACAATATTATCAATTCCTTTTAAAGTCTTTTAAAGTTACCTGGCCATGTATAAAAGTAATTGACAGTTAAAGTATGGCAAGTCCATTCATACAAATTTAATGACAAAACAGCTTGATGCGAGTTTTTGTAACATTAATTTTCTTTAATTCAAGATTCAGAAATCTGGCTAATATTTGTGATATAGATCTATACTTTTATCAATGGTAATTACAAGTGTGCCAAACAAATAGATAGAAATACCTGATTAAAACAACAGGTAAATTGGCATTTTACATAATTTATTTATTTTTTTTTATTAATTTTTAAAAAAATTAACTTTAAAATTTTGGCAAAACAAAACCAAAAGAACATCAATTTCCCCCACTTGTTTGTTTTGTTTGCATGTTTATGTAAACAAATAATTGGACAGCTGTTTTTGTGTAAATGACTTGACCTTTGAATTTGGAACTGTGCAATACTTCAATTATGAAGCCAACAAAAGAGATAATGCACCTTTCAAGCCAGTTTGCTGATAGAGAAAGTCCCAAGATAATTCATCCAAGGTTAGTGCTTGCAGGAGCCAATGACAAATTTGGCTAATAAAAATTTTAATTGGTCCGAGAAATATTGCATTGGTCCAAGAAATATGGAATTGGTCACAGAAATATGGGAATTGGGCCAAGAAATATGGATTTGGCTACAAATGTCAATGCTCTAAAAATAGATAAGTAGTCATCCATATTCAGTGGCACAAAGGATAACTGGCATAGTGCTACCCTCTGTATATTATTTCAAGGACAATCTAGTAGTGGCAAAAACTTGTCAAAAGAAGAGGGTCTTAAAAAGGGCTCAGCCCTTCCATCACAGCCTATAATCCTCCTACAGGTATAATCTACTTCCTGCTTTAATTGTCAATGCTGGATAAGGCTTCAAACCTTGCATTTAGGCAAAGCAAGTATGAGCATGTCACTATAGATGTCAACCTGAACAATTAGCTCTGAAGCTAAATACCAGTATATACATGTATGTTAGTCGAAAACAATGAGAAGTTTTAAAATCTTTAACTACCTAATCTCCCTGTCTATAATTTCATCGGTGAACTGCGATGTATTGTTGATGACAAAATAACGTTGGTTCCACGCCGAATTGTTCCTCAAGTCCTCCCTTAGCAGTTTCTCAACGTACTCCAGCTCGTTGTCCCAGAGGTCAAATTCTCGTATAACCCACTGACGGTGTTGCCAAGCATGGTAGTTTTTGGCGTCCCCTTGTAAGATCTTACCGGTGAAGTCAAGTTCTTGTGAAGGTTCCTGCAACCATTCCACAATAACACGTCTGTGGTGCCTGAAAATTATTTTCAGAACACATTATTTGATTACACAGATAATAGAGTCCTATGGAACTGTCCAGGGTTTATGTTACAATCTCACATGTTTTGAAATGGAATGGCCCTGCTTTGAATTTGGTACAGTACATTCAAAGTCCAAGAAATTTCAAAACAAAATTACAAACATCTAGCTATCAACAGTATTGAGCCTATTAATAAAACTGCACGCACACAGCACAGATGTGCAGGCTGGCCTGGCTCTAAGATTTATAATTCAGGTGGCAAAGGCTTATTACTTTCAATTCCGGCCGGTTTAGGACTAAAATTAGTAAAGACCAGTCACATTGTATAGATGAGCAGGTTCACGCCTGGCTCTACACTGGTCGCATGACTATACACAAGTTGGGATTTTTTCACTATCATCAGGGCTTCCGTAAATGTAAGTTTGAAAGTCATTTACTCCTTGATTCTGGATTTGGGCTTGTGACTTCCAAAATTTATTCCCTTTCCTTCTTAACCTAAAGAATGAGACTTCTTAACCTAAAGAATGAGACTTCCAATGTGAGACAATCTGCAGTCTATGACTTCCAAATTTCGGAATTAAATGGAAGCCCTGTATCATTTATGGGTGAACCAGTTTTCCAAACAAAAAATCCAAAGTTTCTGTGTTTACTTTCATTATGATCCAATCATATAATCCGATTGATATTCTTATTCCCTCTCTGTTATAAACTCCAGACAGAGTCATAACAATCAATACAAAGTCATAACAATGCATTCATTTAACACAGGAACTACTTTCTTGATCATTTGTGAGATTAGTAATACATCAAACCAATCCAAAAGATTTAAACAACATGTCCACATATTCTAATTGCAATATTACAAGTCATTGAACTTTAAAAAATGTATTTAATTTCTTGAAGCCTGTTTTAAATTTAATATTTTAACTTTATTAGGTTTAATTTACTCATTAAATGGTGGTGATGTGCGGGTAAGAAGGAACGCTGATGATCAATCAATGGTGAAGGAATCACCTGGTGAAGGAATCACCTGTGTAAAGGTCATGTAGCTGGATAACTATTTAGGACAAGACAAACCAGCAGCAAATAGTGTTACAGGTTTTCCAGTTAATCAGTTCTAAGAAAACTTCTTTTTTTTTCATCTAAGCACTGTTTTTGAATGTCTCTAAAAATAAAAAGAAACAATATAAATTCTATTTCTTACCAGACTTGATAGTTCTTTGGATGTGAGTTGATCACACGAGTGATGTATTGTAATTCCTCTTTCAGATCTTTATTTAGGCCTTTTAACAGCACACGTCTAAAATGCCTGAAAATATACACAAACATAACTACATGTATTGATATATTAAACATACCAGAAAATAGTTAGCCAACATTTTTTTTTTTTTTTTGGCAAGATACTGCAAATAACAGAGGACCGATTTTCTTTATAATATCTTCAATGGACCTTTCAACTTCCAATCTGGACACAGCCAAGGAAAATTTCAAAATAAGTACTGACTGAATAGCAAACAGAACAGAAGAGACTATGATCAGATCGGCTTTAAGGCTGTACCAGCTGATTTTGGTCTGCTCTAGTAGTATGGGAATATTCTGTTGCCACCAAGAGTAAAGACTTACATTTTCAATATAAAAGAATAGCTGCATATCAAATATTGTTTGCAAAATGATAACCTTTCCATTGTGACTGGGATAATACAATTATACTCCAGTTAAAATAATTTTACAATCTTTATAATACATGTATATGGATATAACAAACTACATGAAAATAAATACAAAATTTTATGGCCAAAGAAAATTATGTGTTATAAACAGTGGGGATATCACAATGAAATATCTCCGAGACAAATTATTCCACTCAATATCTTACTTGATATGTATAAGAATAATATGATCTGACCTGAATGTCAACTTAGGGCACATATCTAGCAATCAAAGTCTAAATTAACCCACTATTCAGTTTGACAAGTTTGAAATTTATCAGAAAATCAATCTGTCAGTTTAGTATAAATTTCAATTACTTCCACCCATCAGTTCAACAAAGACTGTGTTACATGTATATATCTGAGAAAATAATCATGAAAGTGAGCAAGGTTTCAGTGAAATGATAATTAATTTTTTTTTTTTTTTTTTTTTTTTTTTTTAATTTGACGTTTGTTGCACAAAATAAGAGTACACACAGTCATGTAGATATTCTGCGAGCAGAAGAAATGGCTGTTAAAGATTTAAAGACTCAAACTTGTTCTATGAACTTTTTTGGTGTTTATGTGTGTGTGCGGTGAGGGTCAGAGAAAATCTGAGACAACTGACTTTCAAAGGAAACATGCCCCTCCCCCACCCTTCAAAATGTGCCATTTTGAACATCTGCCATCCCGCATCCCATCAAAATGAAATTTAATACTTGTTACAGCATGTCCAAAGGTTTGGAAATTTTCTAAGCTTTTCAAATTCTCAGTTGCTTGCATGTATCACTATTAGGTTTTTGCCCTCTTGATTTCTTTTTGAAATTTATATTTTATAAGCTTAATGTAATAACAAAATTTGTTTTTGTTTAGTTAAAGTGCCCTACATTGGGTCCAAAACAGAAAGGTAACAAGGTTATAATTGTGACAGAGTATAATTCACCTGGTAAATGCCCCTGTCACAGTAAAATATAATACTGATTATTTTGTAAACTAACACCATTATCAACTCTAAATGGCCTCCAGAGAGTGGATCACAATAACCTTTACGCACAGCAAGGTACGAGACATCAGTGCCACCCTATACCTCAATGTCTTGTCAAGTACTTTTTCCTTTAATTTTTAGAAAATCAAACAAATTTAAACAAGAGCTGTCCGTAAGACAGCTCGCTCGACTTTTCTATTGCTTGCCAATAAAAAAAGTTTTTGCAGTAAAAGGCAATACAAGAATCTCTGTATTTTTAAAGTGAACAATGGCCATGAGCATTAAGATATTTAGTGAAGAATTATTTTATTATGACATAATTTATGGTAAAGTGAACAAGTGGATAGGAATGAATTTTTTTAGATTTTTTAAGTTTTTTAGTGCTTGCCTATAATACAAAACATTGACAGTTAAGGGCCATAATTCAAATAAAATCTTTGACAGAATTACCTTCTCCTGGACATGTTTGGGAATCATGATTGTAAACAAGTATTCCAACTTTCAAATTAATATCTCAAACAGTTCAGTCAAAAAGTGGACTGGTACTAAAAACTTAACCAAGATTCTAAGTCGATAAAAGGCCTTAATTTTTAAAACAAATCCTTGACAGAGTTACCTTCTCTTGCGTACAGATGGGGGTAATGATGTGAAATAGCATTAAAAGTTTCAAAGCAATATCTCAAAGGGTTAAGGCAATAAGTGGATTTTACCCATATTCAATGTATTTTCTAAGTCAAAAAGGGGCATAATTCTGTCAAAAACCTTGACAGAGTTATGTCCTCTTGTCTGTTGATGAAGGTCGTGATGGTAAACAAGTATGGTCAGTTTCAAAGCAATACCTCCAATGGTTTTGAAATAAAGTGAGGTGGTACAAAAAACTTAACCAAGCTCAATACACTTTCTAAGTCAAAAAAGGGCCATAATTCTGTCAAAAACCTTGACAGAGTTATGTACTCTTGTCTGTAGATGGAGGTTATGATGGTGAACAAGTTTGGTAAGTTTCAAAGCCATACTTGTAATACTTCTGAAATAAAGTGGGGTGGTACGAAAAACTTAACCAAGGTGTGACGCCGACGCCGACGCCGGGGCGAGTAGGATAGCTCCCCTTTTCATAGAAAAGTCGAGCTAAAAATCAAGCAGACAATGTTTGAAGCAAACGACAATTTTCCCAGCGTGTTATATATGTTAAATAGCAACAACTTAAAAAAAAAACTAGGTCAATGACTATTATCGAATCACATCAAGGATTTCACTACAATTTTCATTATAAACATATACCGTTCATATAATTCATTTAAATGTTGCCTCTTTTTTATAATATGAAAACAGAAATGTTTTAATCAAAAACACATATTTTTGTTTTAATATCTGCCCTGTAATAATCGTCAAACCACAATCATTTTTCTACAACTTGAGTCCAGACAGCTAAAATGAGTCCAATGACTGTGTCAGCAAGTAATATATACATTTTCAACTGAAACTAATACCAATTATTCTAAGCAATACCATATTAAAGGGACTTCAATAAGTTTTTTCTTGACATGACGGGATGGAGTTTAATGTTACATTTGTTGTAAGTCTAGACAAACAACTTGTATGCAAAATTTCAGATCAATTGCTCACTATGTTTTTCCAAAATATTTATTCTTATTATAAATTATAGCCCAAATTTGGAAACAAAGAGGGCTAAAAATAGCACAAAATTACAATTTTCAAATTATTTCTCAGAATATTTCTTAAGTATCTTTTGCATATATCTTTCTGTTTTAATTAAGTGTCCCAGCTGCTCTTTGTAAAAAATTCAAATTTTAAGTATTTGGGCTTTAGAACCTCAGTGGAGTTCCTTAAAATCAAGTCCCAGTAAAAAATAATGAAGAAAAAAATAATCTAATCATTCTGTTGCATTGTAAAACATGCACTTTGAAATTTCCGCGATCATACAATAGCTTTTCTCATGCAGTTGCAGCAGAATTAACTATAAATCTATGGAGAACTATTGATTACACAAGAAAACAAAACCCGGCAAAATAAGACAAAACAAGAGCTGTCCGTAAGACAGCGCGCTCGACTTTTTTATTGCTTGCCAATAAAAAAAGTTTTTGCAGTAAAAGGCAATACAAGAATCTCTGTATTTTTAAAGTGAACAATGGCCATGAGCATTAAGATATTTAGTGAAGAATTATTTTACTGAATTGTGTGATACCCTTGAACACTGCAGGTTCAGTGGATAGGAATGAATTTTTTTAGATTTTTTAAGTTTTTTAGTGCTTGCCTATAATACAAAACATTGACAGTTAAGGGCCATAATTCAAATAAAATCTTTGACAGAAATTACCTTCTCCTGGACATGTTTGGGAATCATGATTGTAAACAAGTATTCCAACTTTCAAATTAATATCTCAAACAGTTCAGTCAAAAAGTGGACTGGTACTAAAAACTTAACCAAGATTCTAAGTCGATAAAAGGCCTTAATTTTTAAAACAAATCCTTGACAGAGTTACCTTCTCTTGCGTACAGATGGGGGTAATGATGTGAAATAGCATTAAAAGTTTCAAAGCAATATCTCAAAGGGTTAAGGCAATAAGTGGATTTTACCCATATTCAATGTATTTTCTAAGTCAAAAAGGGGCATAATTCTGTCAAAAACCTTGACAGAGTTATGTCCTCTTGTCTGTTGATGAAGGTCGTGATGGTAAACAAGTAATGGTCAGTTTCAAAGCAATACCTCCAATGGTTTTGAAATAAAGTGAGGTGGTACAAAAAACTTAACCAAGCTCAATACACTTTCTAAGTCAAAAAAGGGCCATAATTCTGTCAAAAACCTTGACAGAGTTATGTACTCTTGTCTGTAGATGGAGGTTATGATGGTGAACAAGTATGGTAAGTTTCAAAGCCATACTTGTAATACTTCTGAAATAAAGTGGGGTGGTACGAAAAACTTAACCAAGGTGTGACGCCAACGCCGACGCCGACGCCGGGGCGAGTAGGATAGCTCCCCTTTTCATAGAAAAGTCGAGCTAAAAAACCAACAAAATATCACGTAAACTGACATCAAATGATACTTTACTTTATTTAGAAAACACATGATTCCCTGAAGCCAGAAATAGAACGGACATTAAGACTGGTTAAATGCGGAAATTCACAGATCTGTCAAGACTTTCTTCAATGTTAGACAGTTAGAAGACTTATCCCCCAACTGTTTTAATATTTCATTTGCACACATTTGTCAAGATGTTTAATTCAAGTTGTGTCCAAATTACATAAACATCAAAATTAAATGAATACATCTTGTTGAATAACATAATTATAAAAGTCTGTGCAAATAATCATGACTTTGTGGTAAGTTTTACACAGAGAAAAAATTAAATCAAATATTTGCAGTAAAGCCCAAAACCTGCTGTATTTCTTTAATGTCTTGACAAGCTTCCCATTCTGGAATTGTTCATTATCGGTTATGGGGTCAAACTATATGGAGGTGCAGGCAAGGGCCTGACTGAGACTTATACTGGTGGCAAAGGCTTAAATCACTTCCAGTTCAAGCAAGGTAAGAATAATATAAATGTGTATCAATATAGAGCCGTGTCACGACAAAACCAACATAGTGGGTTTGCGACCAGCATGGATCCAGACCAGACT